TTGCCCTTCTGCCTTAGAGCACAGTTTAGGACTGTGCTCAGTAGCACACAGAACCTCTGAACCATTTCCACAAATACTGGCTTGCTACGTGAGGTATAAACATGTTTTTTAGGCCTATGGGTTACAAAAAATGACTTTTCCTCAGATAATGCTAAACATGCTTCTCTAAGCAGACATGAAGACTTGGATCCTGTAAGTTTTTATCTTTCCTTAACTAAATAACTGATCCTACCAATGCTTCATCAGAGCCTCCAAAGCAACTTACTCTTGTTGCTCTCTTTCGGCTCTCTCCAACTTGTTTAGAATTTCTCCAAGGCTGGCACCACAACTGGCCACTCCAGTTTAAGTCTTCCTGCTCAAAACAGTGAGCTCACAACAGCATTTGCCTTTGACCTAAGACGGAAGAGCATAATGCCCAGATGCACTATAATAATGACATACACTGCTAAGGTCCTTGTTGCACTACTGTGTACTTTGCTTGTAAATTACCTTTTTCTGTCTAGATGCAGTGACTGTGCACATCTCACTGATTTCAGTTTATAAAATCTGTCAAGTCAATGCTGAATTGAAACATTGATATCCAATGTGCCAGAAACATCATCTTAGTTTTTTACACAATTCTTTATATTCCAGTTCAGATTTATTAAAATACTGAACAGCCCTTAAACTAAGAGAACCCTCAGGGACTATACTTGATACACTCTACTAATTTGTCAGTGAACAACTAAAAACTACTCAGAAAGAAGAGAGAGACACACAAATTCAAAGACAAGCAAGGTCATGAACTTCAGTATATCAGTGAATTCCCAGTCCAAGTCTGCATGCATGCTCTTACCTGTGAGGAATAAACTTACGTTGATTACAGGGTAAGAGCAAACTTGCACACAGGGAACCTCAGAGCAACAGCCATGCTGCTGGGTAAACAATGATGTGAAGCTGCAGCAATTTCTTTGCTCCTCTGCACTTCTAGTACATCTTCACAGCCAGCTGTGCACTGACTTCATAATATTCTCATCTAGACCTTTTTTTTTCATAGTCTGCTTCTCTGACCAGCATATGAAACTGACATTGAGAGTCCCACTAAAATACGTGATGGGATTCACCTGAGCACCTATCTCACTGGAGTGCATGATTTCCACCGAGCTCCTAGTAATCTATAACACTGCTCTGGCCAGTGTCCTGGGAAGATGCTGACCCTCCAGCCTTTAGGAGAACCTTACAATTAGCCCATATCTCATTTTTAAGGAACTGAAGCTCGTACTGAAGGCATCCTGAAAACAAAAGCAGCAGCCTCGTAAAAGGCAGCTGATCTCTGTCACACTGGCACAGACTAGTTCAATACTAAATCATGCTGGGAAGCTGTACATGCACAATATGCTTGTACACCTGTCTACTAAATATTTCACCATGACCTTCATTTTTCTTTTACAAATAATAGCTTCAAGAAGCAAATAGTTTTATTTTAATAATTATATTTGGAATCACAGAATTGCAGAGTTCGGATGAGATCTCTGGGTGTCATCAGATCCAATCACTCCACACAGAACAGGATCAGCTAAACCAGGCTCTCCAGGGCTGTGTTCAGTCAAACTGTGGCCATCTCCAAGGACATGGAGGTGCCACAACTTCTCTGAGCAGCTTATTTTGCTCTCAAGGTGAAAATGGTTTTCCTTATTTCTAACTGGCATTTTCCTTGTTGCAACTTGTATTTGTCGCCTCCAGCAATAAAGTGCCTATGTGAGAAGAATCTGGCTTCATCTTCTCAATACCCTTCCATTAAACAGCTAATGGAAAAAGGATCTCCCAGCAATCTTACTTTACTTTGGGCCAGGGGAAAGAAAAAAAAAAAAAAGAAAAGAATCAGTTCTCTAAATCTCTCTATCTCTCTTAATATGTTTTCCAAATAACATTATATATTAAAATGTTTTTTAACTGTAACTGCTGAAATATTCAGAGAGATGTGTTACATACAATCACACCAAGACAAATAACCAAGGGTGGTCTTAGCTCTTGAACAAGCTAAATAATTTAAAAGGAAAACAAGACAAAGAGATGACCCTTTTCACAATGTCTCATGCAGCTGGAAAGGGATTTTATTTACAATATTTAAATGCAGTACTGTGAAACAAACAACTTGGTTCATAGGCAGTGCACCCGCTGCTGAACTGTCACTGCCTGACATCCTGTCTTATCTGCCAAATTGCTCATTAGGTTTGGCAATTTTCACCTGCGCCTCCAGTTTATATTTCAGCAGGGAATAAACATCAGTCTGCTTTAACAATCTTCTGCAGTGAGCTTCCAACCTCTTCCCAGAAAGCATGCAGGCACAACACAAAAAATGCCTTGTGTACTGGCTTCTTAGAAAAAAAATGCAGCTCAAGTGATGAAATACAACAAGAGGAAGTTTAACTTTGGTAATAGAAAAGCAGTAAAAAAGAAAGAGCTAGATAAGAAACATAAATAAATCAACTGCTTGTGTCGATGAATTGTGTTTTCTCAGTGCAAAACAACACAGGGGGTATGGGCCAGCCTCATTTTTGTTTCCATGTTTGTATGGGAAGATTCAACTTGACACAACCCCCCCCACAACGTGCAAAGTACAGGCTGTGTTTGTGCATGGGAAAAGACGGACTCCAGATGAATATTACTTTTCCAGCTGGACCTGATCTAGCTAACCTTTCCCTTGCTGGGAGAGGAGGGATGGCGTGATCTATAAACAAACAAAAGGGGTAGCATGGCAACCAGAACAAAGAGAGGAAGATCTCAGCAGGCCCTTAAGCCCCAGCCTAAAGCACTGAGATGCTGCCTCGGAACAGAGCCCACTCCAGACCCCGCGGGTGCAGGTGAGTGGCAGCAGGATGGCACAGAGCTCGGCTCCTGCGAACGCGCTGCCACGGAACAGAGCCCAGCTCGCGAGCAAAAAGCACCAGAGATGTAAAACAAAACGTCTAAAATGCTATAAACCAATTTCAGACGGAATACTGTTTTTCATTTGTTAGAAGTAAAATATTCACCGCCAACCCTGCAATTAGCTAGAAAATTACAATAATTACAGCAATTTTGTATCCCATCTCCAATCCAATTAATAGATATATGACCTTGTCAACATGTAATAATCAGGATCTGCATCTACCGCAAAACTGGATGGGTTTTATTTGCTGAATAGAACTTACACAGTAAGAAGATAATTATTTGAAATACTGAGAATACCATTTGTATGCTATGCTTCACTTCACAAATTATAAAGGAAATACAATAAGGATAGCATCTCCATTTTCAATGTATATTTAAATGAAATTCTTGAAATAGTTATGTATAATATGGGATAACATTACTGGACTTCGATTCTAAGACTGTGGTTTGAAATATTTAGAATCAAAATATTTCTAATTGTCAACATTTAAAAAAAAAGAATTAGCTAGACAGGAGAACACCTCTGATTTCTGATAACATATTTATGACAAATTGCTTAAACAATTTTATTTTTGCATGCTTTTATAAAAAGTGTCAAAGAGCTATAATTCTTACCAACAATTGTAAAAGTCTTCTATATTTCTAAAGACCTTTATATTGTAGGGTCTCAAAGCACTTTTTGCTCATTTTGGCAATCAGTGAACTAGTTAAGTATTCCATGTATTTTCTAAAATGACACAAAGATAAGTGAGCTGTCCAGTATCTCAATGAATTTTATCTGCGCTATATGATTTTTAATGCACTAACATTCATGTATTGTATAATACACTGGATAATCGCACTAAGGAGAAAATATGTATGCATTTGCCTGCTCTAACCCCCCTTAGTTGAGAACCCATGAGGACAGCTTTTTGGCATATGCATGGAAATGAGATGTGCATTTAACAGTGGCATACTCTAGTGACAGCAAAATGGAAGGGTCCTGAAATTCCAGGATACTTCTTTATTCTACCATTAATCCTTTCCCTAATTTAATTCTGTGTTGCAATGAAGCATAGTTATAGCTTGAAAAGATACGTGTTCAGCTCTATCTAAGCTAATTGTTAAACGTTGTTCCCTTAATTTTACAGAAAACATTCTGGTACAAAACCCCTCAAACTTAATAGACTGGTAACTTTTCCATTTGCATTTTACCTCATTGCTTAAATGCAGATTTTTATCCATTAAAAGAACACCTACACAAAAGCAATCTCTCGGGTATTACAAATAGTTTTTTAAAACACTGTATCTGTAGAATATTAAAGGACTGATGATACTAACTTCTGCTAAGAATTTTCTGGAGTGGAGTCACTACTTCAGAAGTTCAGTGAGCAAAATGATAGACACTACAGGTAAGAGGTCACAATTGTCTTGTTTGTGTGGCACTTTTAACAACAATGGAAATTACACAGTAAATTTCATTCCATGATTTTTCTTCTTAATAAGCTGAAATATTCCCAGAACCTGTCTGAGCAAGAAATGCAATAAGTAATTCCTACTACATAGTTTTGCAATGAATGTTCACCACACTGAAATAAACAAAACAAAGGCTTGTTTCTGGCTGTGGTTTCTGTTTTTTAAGAAGTGTATTTTTGTAACACAGTAAATGTACGTTTTAGCAGGTGTTTTTATGGAAAGGTGACAAGCATAACCTAGCAACACTGGCAGGTTCAGTAGAAAGTGCTCCTATCTTTAGTTTCTTTTTACCATTTTCTTCATTAAATGCAATGAAACTGGCAAACTGAAAATTACACCGTGCAGAAACTGCATTTGGAAATTTTGCTGGGATTTTCCGTGTAAGGACAATTTTAAACTGGCAGCACAGAAGGAGCTTATGGCTCCTAAAAGCAGTTTATAAATAATTTATTAAAACTGAAAAGGTTTGTTTACTTGACTGCAACAAGCATTTATGCAATTTCTCAATTCTGATCAGCTTTCAATAGAGACAGATAATGAATCATTTTCCCAGCAGCACCAATGGGTAACAGCACTTGGCACCTTGGTAAATTTAGATGAAACACGTTGAGACACCGAGAACATTTACTTACTTGCGCGTAGGACTGAAGGGGTGACCTCAATTTCACTTGTTGCTTGGTAAGGCTGAAAGGCCGATGCCGCGTTGGAGCCAAGCTCGCTGCCGAAAATCTCTGGGCTTTGCGTGCCTGTCGAGCTGGCGCTGGTGCCATCACCTCCATGGTGTGGATCTTGCTCATCAAACACAGCCACAAGCTGAAAATGACAATTTAATCTACTGTTAAAAAAAAAAACTTTCAGCAACATCAAAGTGCCATTGCAGATCAGCATTTCATCATTTCTTCCCACCAAAGAGAGAGAAATGTCTATCAGCAGAAACTCTGATCAATGCCTAGATCATCAGCCCAAGGAAAGGCAGCCATTAATTGGATACTACAAAGGGTCAACAGCTCTGATGGAACACAGAACTCATCACTGTCAGCCACAGAAAGAACAGCACCAAGTCAGGAAAGGAAGGGTTGCGCCTTCCCCAGCAAACCACTTCATCTCACCCAGTAATGTAGAAACAAATCTGAGTGTGGATCGATGCCTGTTCACTGCAATTTTTCATCTGTGTTTTGGTACCTCTGTATGCATCATAACTACAGAGTCAAATTATGAGCAAAACCACAGCTTTATAGAATAAAAACATACAAGAAGAAATTACGTTAATACACATTGAAAGCTACACAAAACACAAAGCCTAGGAAGTGTTATAATCACTAACAGTTATCATCTATTTATCTGTCACCTATTGATCTATTACCTATTAATATGATTTAAGTTGTAGGGTTCTCTTTCTTCAGTCAAATTTACAGAGATACTCTGTGTTTGTTTGCAATCAGCTTCTCCAAGACAAGTTTGAAATCTCGAGTCCAGTTTGAAACTTAGCCTAGTCATTAACTGAATAAAGGTTTACTAAATCTGTGTTCACCACTGCAAGAAAAACAGGAAAAACATCATGGGGATTTTTGATAAATCTGAGATATTTTTCCCACTGTAAATAAATGCTTTTATTTGAAACAAATAATTTATCCCAATTTATCTTTGGTGACCTACTGAAAGAGATAATGCCAGCTCTTATACACATTTCACTGTAGAACTTAATTTTCAAGATAGAGAAAAAAGTTTTATGGATGGCAGCATTCTGCAGCCTGCAAATTAATCTATAATATAATATCTGAAAGACATTTCCAAGAAAGCATTACATTCTTCTGTCCAAATTGGTAGGGTAAATGGAGCAAATCAACTTAAACCTGTGCTAGCCTCTTCAAATTGTTTATTCTGTTAGAACAACAGCTAAAACCTTGTGTAACATAAAGGAATAAGAGGTCATTTTCTCTCTCTCTTTTTTTTTTAAGTGATTTCACCATCATCTTTATCCCAAAGATTTTAATATTATTCCCTTTACTCAAAGCTAACTTACATAAACATCAGTAAAAAAATTTAAACCCACAACTCTAAGTCCCAGTGGAAACTATTTGGCAATTCAGCTTTTGAAAGTACTTTCAGGCTTTAACTCTTTTTAATGAGTCATTTTGAAACTACAGAGAGTAGCAAACTTCTGCTGGTAATTCCATATCAAATTTAGGTTCTGGCATGCATAAAACAGAAAGGGGAAACTGGTACTGGATAAAGAGTTCATGCTCTCTCCGGTTCTAGTTGAAAAGTAGGGAGTAGCAGGAAAACCAGGCTGCAGCTGCAGACAGCTGGAACATGTTTTTAACATAAAAGTCATTATTCTATGCTTGAGAAATCTACACACAAAAGACACTTGACAACACCAAAATGTCAGTAGCTCAAGAGTATTGGGAAAATTAATTTTCTAACACATTGTGAAATATCTGTGCTTACAAAAATATGCTTCTCAAACTTTACTCATAACTCTCTTACTGTTTTATAGCAAGCTAATTACCAATCTCCAGCAACTGAAAATAAATTAATCCTCAAGTGAAGATCTGTAAGGTATTACAACAAAAGACAAACAAAGCATTTAAGAATCCTAGGCACGAAACATCAAATCTCTTTCTCTTTTGCATGTCATGTATCAAGATAAATCCCCAAATTACATTCTGTTCCTTTGAGGCTGACTGAAAAATATTGTTCCATGTACACAGCTGCAAATATTTTATAGATATTATATATATATGTAAAAAGGTATTTCCATATAAACCTCTATACGTATGTCTTACTGTAAGTTGCCTCCAGCTTTTTGCCTATTCCAGACAGTCTACAACCTACAGCTTCAGAATATCTAAAAATGAATGTCTCTTATTTCAAGTTTAGCTTTTGATCTTATGTTTTTTCGCAGGTATTCACTGTTTTGACAGCATCAAACCTTCAAAAGGTTTCAGTTCCATTAAAAAGCATACCAAGTTGTAACATTTTTTCATATAACGTGAAGAAACACAAGCCATGTTAGTCTTCTCCAAATCTAATTAGCATTAGGAACACAGGTTAGGAAGTTCGCTGTAAAACAGCACTACAGTGGTACAATTCATTACTCATAATAAGCTAGAACATCTTTGGGACTGGAAGACTTAATGCAAATCAACACTGTTGAATCTTGATTTCCAGAGCTTGGTATGACGCTCTGCAGATGATGAGCTCACAGGAAAAAAGGACAGCCAAAATGTCTTACACTGTACTATGGTACCAAGCATTTGTCTCTGATTTCTCCTAAACCCTTTATTTTAATCAACGGAGATTCTTTGAGGAGGGGAATTATACCCTTTTTCACATTTGGAGGCCCAGAAATCACACCTCACTACCATCTTTGCAGGAACAAGAAACAAAACAAAAAACATCCGAAGAGACACATTATGGCAACTTAGAAGGAATCACAGGGGTAGGTCACTGGAGCTATGAAGAATTCTCTGGTGCAGGAACCCACAGTGATAAACACTGCTATATGCCAAGGAAATAAACGGCCTCTTGGTGAGTCATGTTTAATCACTGAGATGTTTTTAATTTGGCAAAGAATGGAGCACACAATACTAGACCAGATTTTATCAGCTTTAAAGTCAATGGTAAGCCTATGGTATTTTGCTAGGCTTTAGATATCAGACATACAAAGATAGTGGAAAACAAAGACGGTTTTTCTGGAAACATCATCTTTACTGTCAGGCGACTGCTTCTATGTTGATTATTTTTCTTCTTTAATATGAAATAAATGACTGGAGTTACCCTAACCTTTGAAGAATCACGCTATTATTTCTAATACCTGACATGAGATGTGCCTTCTCTTTGTCCTTTAGTTTTAGATCCCATCACTTGCAGTGACCTAAGAACTCATCATACCATCCAATCTTATGCAGAAAGACTGAATAAACCATAATAACACATGAATAAAGAAAATAGCTTAAATGTTCAATATTAGACCAGTATTGGCTCTTTAAAAGATTTCCGCCAAAAAGCAGTGAATATTGGAGCCATTTGGGATTTTGATCCATTTAACCTTTTTTATTTTTTGAAATACAGCTCCACAACCAAAGACCAAATATCATATCAACAGTAATAAATAATAACAGTAGTTATTTTAAGTTTTATCCACCCCCCCTTCCATGGGACCTGAACTTGAATGCATCAAAGAGTGTGCAAATACAGTTTAATAGGTTACAGCGGTTTTAACCACATAAGGTAACAGGACTATTTACATTTTTCAATCACTGAAGCAAAAATCTGGAAATAGAAAATAAAATCAAGTAGCAACAAATTACTTTGTCTTCCCAAAACAAATTTAATAAACTATATGCTTAATTTAGACTGGCATGCTTATATTTCTTATTACAATATGGCAAAAGCAATGGAAAGGGGGTTTTAATACAGATCCACATCATACATCAAGGTAAGCTGGCACAGGAAATATCAATTTGATTAATATGAGAATTTGGTCCCCAGTGCATGCATATATTACTTTTTCAAGAAAAAATATATTTCAAATATTTATTAACACCTTCAGATATAAAAACAGTGGCTCTGTTCAGATCACAACTTATGGAAAGGTTCATTCCATTTCAGCAATTAAGAGTATTAAGGAATTCGGAATAAGTTTTTGAATGGTTAATATGCATAAATTAAAATACTTTTCAAACTCCAGAGCAAGAAATACAAGTAACCATGTGTGAATTATCAACAAAAGATAAAAAAAGCAACAACATTCGGTGTTCGATCAACAGTTTTTCTTTTTTTAGAAATAAAAAGAACTGCAGAAAACTCAACAATTATCTCAGTTGTAAAAAACATATCTATGATCTTTAGTTTATTTAAAGAGGCATGGGGGTTTTCTTATTGCTACCCTTATACTCTGAAGACAAAAACATTATAGGAGTATGATTTAAAAATCAGATAACTTGATGCTTTTCTCTTTTGATTGATAAAGACTTTCCATAGCAAACAGAAAAAGAAGGGAGAGAAAAAAAATTTAATTCTTTCTGGTAAGATATAAATAAACAAGGTTCATCAAGCAAATGGTTTACAAAGAAATTATCCTACAACCTGAGATACCAAAACAAGGTTTTACTGAGGTGTCTTTGGCTCTGGGATAGGAGGAAAGCATTACCAGCCTATCACTGCATTGAGCTCTCTATAACACCACGTTGTACTGAACTTATTGCACTACAACCTTTAGTTCTTTCTGAAAGAGATACCAGGATGAGATTCTCTATTCCTCTGTCTGGGACTCAATGTATCATACTAACCAGGTTATATTTACTTAAATAAATGGAAAGCAAGAAGATTGATTTATTTTAATATTGACATAGCAGCAGCAGTCTGCATTCCAACATTAATTATTACAATTTTCATCTATTCTAAAGTAATTAAAAATTAGTAAACACATATGCAGTCTTAATTAATATACTAGATTAAGTACTTGAATGTTAATTAACTGGATTAAAAAACTATTTGCACCAGCAATGACTGTTTACATTAAGTACTAAGATCATATAAAACAATTCATCACCATCAAATGGTCCGATCACATCATCTCTCCCCAGCACAAAACCATAAAACCAGAAGTCCTCCACTTTACAGAAATTGATAAACCTAGAAATTTTGCTGTATTTTTCCACCACTACGATACATAAGATTGTCAAAAAGATCACCTAAATTTTGCATGTTCCTAAGTCTTTGTCTGAAGTCTGCTAATTCTTTTGTGATATTTATTGATGAATCTGATACTGGCTTATATGTAGGAACCAGTAACGACTTCAGAC